TAGCCTCATGTTTTCTTTTTTTTACTTGGTGCTAAAGTCGACTGTGATCATTTCGTTTGATGCCTATCATCGCTTTTTCTGAACTTCTTTGTAAAATTCTTTTTCTTACTTCTGGTAACAATCAACACGCTTCTGTACAACCACGAAAGCGGAATACAGAATCAATCAATGCATCTATTATATATTTGTTAACTTGGAAACACATGTGCCACTTTTCTGTCAAGGTGTCTTACTCATTCCAGTAGAGTGTAAATATTATAGTAGACCAATGATATTCAGTTGATGTTAAAGCACCGATCATTCCTTTCATTGAAAGGGGGCCCTGCTAGTAGGATATAATTTTTTAGACTCGGAGTATCGATCTCCAGTTCGAGCAACCTGAATTAATTTATTAAAAAAAGAACTCACGGCTCGGCAACAGGAGGTTCAGTCCATCCAATGGTGAAATAGCGCACGTGAAATAGCGCACGTGAACATCAAAGGTCAGATAAAACCGTACTGACTGATCATATTTATTTTGGAATACCCTCTGTCACTCCTTTCCCCCGAACTAAGGATACATTAAAGTCTTTAATCCCCATCTTTTAGCAAACTGCTAAACATAATAGGTAATTCCGAGGCCAGAACTAATTTTCGTGACATGACGTACACCTGTTACTGTTGTTAGCATAGCCCCCCTCTGTCCTTTTCCCCAGCTCTGTGAGTGAAACTGACCCAACTTGGGTGAGTCACAATCTGTCCTGTAGCTCGGACAAAAAGGCGCTCCTGCCACGGTGCGTGACATTTAACGCGGTAAGAAGAAAGCACGGAGCAAAAACACTCGTTATTCGTAATTGGCTGATTTTCTTCCTGGATAAATGGTTAATTACTAACTAAACTACTTAAGAACAGCACGGCTGTGAACCAGGCTCAGTTTCCTGGCATTAACAGCCTCCAAAAATCTGAGTCAATGGCTGAAATGGAGGAAGTGGACAAAGTCTGTAGCACTGTGGTGCAGAGGCATGCGTAGAATAAAATTACCGCACTGGTAGGCGAAGCTAAAATGGCCAACATGCCCTTCCTTTCTTTCCCGGTCTTGGTAACAACATCAAAAAAACAATTAGGCAGGCTCGCGTGCGTGAAAAATCCTTTAGCTGCATACAGACAGTGGGAGGTCTATTTGCAGAAAAGCCCTACCCATTTCTGACTGCAGACTATCAGAATTACATCTTCGGTGGGGTTTTGTTTTTTTCTAAGCAGGGAAAATCACCGTGGGCACGTGTTGTATGATTTAACAACCTCTTTTCAGGAACAAAGGTTTTATTTTAGAGTTATAAATTTGTTAGGGGCAGTTAAATCCAATTTAACGTCCATGTCCAAGCCAAATTGAAAGAGAGTAATGGAGACCCCCTCAAATGACACCATCGGGGATTTGAAACCGAGTCGAAGGTACTGCAGTTCAGTACTTCCATCTGAGCTGACAGTGCTCCGGTAAGCCTTGAGCAAACCACTCAATGACAAAAATATGAAAACTGACAACAACAAAAAAAAAGAACCCATCCACTTTTCATTGCAGGGTCTCTCTTCATTGTAAATTAATTTGGAAGCTGAGGAGCTTATTTGTGGACCAAATCTCACCACAATTCATACACATATAGATTTAAAAAGCCAAGTATGGATTCTTCAAATACCGCACGCGTTAACATTTTAGAAAAATAGTTTACTTTCCATGGAGACGGCGGCCATGTTGCATTTTGTTTATGTGTCTTATACAGTTAATATCTCACTTACTATCAGTGGAAATTGATTGTTATTTTGCATGCAAGTTAAGTAACAATAATTCTAAAAACTTGTCTGTTAAATTTTTCTTAACGAATTAGACAAATTTAAATTAAATATTTGCCAGAGGTAGTATTCAACGCTTCAAAAATCCATGAAAGTTCACACTCCAGACACCACCAACAAAAATCTGTTTCATATTGAATATTCAAAAGACAGTCTTTTAGCGTTACCGGTACACCTTCTCTTCATTCGGGCGAACATTTCATGATGGTTGGATGAAAAATGGCAGTTATTGTAAAAAGTATATAAAGAGAAAAACAGCGATTTGAGAAACAGACGATAAAGAAAAAAAGGGGACTTTATGAGGATATGGTGTTAACTATCATGCTTGACATGCCAACAAAATAAGGGTGTAGGGGGTTCTCATGCTATGAAATAGTTGTAAGAGAGGCTGAAGAAACCAAAAATGCCCACATCTCAAAATCGATCATCTTGACCCAAATCTAAACTTTCAGCTCAACCCCCCCCCCCCCCCCCCCCCCCCAATATATAGGCCTGCACAGTGTAACCTATTTAGACTGAATCGCAGGGGAGTCAGAAGAATATTGCGCCTTAGACTTAGACATTTTCCGTCTTACACAGGTGTATAATTTAGGAAGATGGAAAGGGAGGGGGGTTCAGAGATCCAGCTAGTGGGATTATGAGACGCTTGTCCAGTTGGCAAGCAGTGGTCAAAACCTCACACCTATCAAGTGCTATCCTCTCTGAAAATGGCAGGTCAGTCCTACTTTTCTATTGCCAACAGTGCTTGCATTTAATAGGACCACTGGTGGACCTAGACACGATTGAACATCACCTTTGCTTCCACCCATCGGTATATAATAAGCACAGTCAACCAATACCACCCCTCCTGTGCTTGTAATGTAACAACGATTCAAGAAACCTTTTCTCGGCTGGCCATAGGATCAGGGCGACAGGCATTGGTCAAACTAATTTCAAATCTCCGTTAGAGCCGATGGAACCAAATGTGATAGTTTTGTTTTTAACTAATTTCACATCTCTGGGCTCTGGCTACCCATTAAAGTTTCTGTACTTGAGTGCCAGTATTTGAGCACATTCACAGGCACTGGTGAGATTTCACACCCACACCACCCTGACCATCTATCTGCACTGCAAAGGGATCACATGGATGGGGTTGGGGGCTCGGGCCGCTTGGGAAAGGCACTTTGCACAAATTTTCCTTACTTCACCCAGGTGGGAATGGGTACCCAGCCATAGACAGCCAAAGATATTGTCAGTATGTTAGTGTTTTAGCGCCTATAAATGGCTGCTTGCACTGTATGCTTCCCAGGAAGTTGAGGTTGTTTCAGAATGCTCTCAGGTCTGCTGGGGTAATAGTATAGATTGTGAAGCACATAGAGCTTGCTGTTGAGCGGGGATTTGCGCTATACAAATGCTATCTATTATTATTATTATTATTATTATTAACATCTACCCTCAAGTCGCACACCTTTTCCCCTTCCTCGCCTTATGGTATTGTGTTAAAGGTAGAGCCGAAGGAACCAAATTTGATAGTTTTGTTTCAAATCAAGGCTCAGTGGGCAAAGTGTTTTCAGTCTCAGATAGGTAAAGCCCCTCCAAATGGAAGGAATTTCTCTTTCCGTTTGTGTGTTAGGTTTCCGTTTTACGGAGGTAATTACAGTGAGGAAATTATCAAGGGGTGAGCAGGGACATTCCGTTATGACTCGTTTTCGTTTTACACAGGTTTCCATTAAGGCAGGTTCAACTGTTTCTTTTAACAGGAAAGGCAAAGGGCCGAAAGGCAAGGAGGCAAGGAAGGGTGAGGGGAGAGGGGGGGTGTGTGTGTGTGTGTGTGTGGGGGGGGGAGAGAGAGAGAGAGAGAGAGAGAGAGAGAGAGAGAGAGAGGGAGAGGGAGAGATGTTTGTCATGTAGTCCAACAAACATGTATAATAACAGAATTCTGTTGGGTCCATTTTTCCACAACTATCAAAATGGTCAAGCCAAGCATGAGGCAGATCACTGATGACAGAGGAATGACCTGATGTCTGAACTCAATCTCAAGCCTAATGTTAGAATACACATAACAAATATTGGAGTTTTTTCATGTTTCCGACATAATATGTAAATTATGTGGCATGCTGACAAAATGAGTTGCTTCTTGGAATCCACAAATGGAAATACATGTACATTACGGTATTGTACATGTAGGCCTATTGGCCAAAAATCAAGACTAGATTTTCATTTGAGTCATATTCTATAAGTGTAACATGCCTTTAATTATTTAATACTTATAAATTGTAAAAACTTCACCTATAAGCCTGATGTATCTATTTCCATTGGGCGCAAATCTGAGAAGTAACTCACTTTTGTCAGCATGCTTCACATTATATCAGTATGCTAAATAAAACACTGTGCAGTCGAAGTCAAAGGTTGGTCAGCAGGCTATCAGAGAGTTTAGTCTGACAGGCCCACTTGTTTATCATTCCGGAGTTTGATTTTAAAAGCCAGTACATCCAGGGTTTTTTTAATGTTCAGGATAGCCCCCCAAAAAAACTCCACATTTTTTTCCTCTCAACAGCCAGTCGCTTTGAATATCTTCAAAACACTTTCCCCACTTTATTTTAATTATCAAAATATTGATACTGGACTAAGACAGAAATGTTTGCTATGTTTTAAACTATCACAAGGAATCGATAGGTCATTTTTGTCCAAAACTGGACATATACTGTCTTTTAAGATAAAACTCCAGCATTTTCAACAATTATCTTCGGCTCTTTCCTCACTTTTTAAGAGTGAACCAACTATAAGTACATAAAAAACTGAAGTTCAAACACAAATGTAAAAAGTCCATTTCTAAACTTAATGGAGGTCATATTCTACTATTGTGGGAATAAATTTCATGCAACTATGACTATGAAACTTTTGAGAGATAAGCATCCGTATTTTCAATTATTTAAATGATAGAGCACTCTTTATTATATTCGCCGAGACGTGTGTGTAACGGTCAATATGCTCAGCATGCACACAGGACCTTGCAATTTACTATCCATATAAAAGAATAAAGTACTGGATACTCTGTGCACTTGGACCGAGGTTTTGAAAAGTAAGAGGAAAACTCAGTCATCCATCAATCATGACTACAGCAATCTGACGAGGCACTTCAACACACATCTCAGCTCATGGGCTGCCATTAAAAGAAAATAAAAACCAATTCCAATGTCTCTATCATTATAAATTTATTTTTAGATAAGGTGAATATACAGTGATGGTACAGTTATTTCAAATGACAAATTCTTTCTGCAAAAAAAAAAAAATGATAAAAAATATATGTTAAGATCACTCACAACCATATTTCTTAGACACTGTACGCCGACAAAGATAAAGTATAAATTATAAAAATGAACACATCTGAGGAGTAAAAAAGCCTCCAAACATAGATGAAACCATGATGACAACAAAAAAAAGGAATCACTTCCCCATGCCAAATGTAAAAAAGAAAGAATCACTCACTAACTACTGCAGCAAAGATCACATAGAATTCAGATCTACTCTTGTGCGACATGCAAAATGTCAGTACCTGTTTCATGATGTCTTTATAATGTGCTAAGAGCACATAGACCGTTCCACACCAATGGACAACATGAAATTCTCTTGATTAAGGTGAAAACATGAAGCAAAATAATGAGAATCACATAAAAACTTTTATTGATGGTTTTTAAAAATAGGTAACTGTGCAAAAGCTGTATCTATTTTTTCACTTGATCAGTTCTCCAATGCTTTTGCATTCACTTTGCTGCATGAGGACAGGGAACATGCGACATGTTTAATACACAAATTTATAAAAAGAAGAGCGAAAACCATGGTACTAAAATGAAACTATATTAGGTAAGAAAAATAAATTTTGTTCCCTATGAAAGTACTGCAACACAGTAAAAATAAAATGGTTCACAAAAAAACAACAACCAACCCCCAAACAAATTAACACTTTGCAGTCATACAACCAGCAGTAGAAAATACCCCATCTGGTCACTCTGCCAGGAGAGCGACTGCGACGAACTTCTCGGGCCTGGTGCATGACAGTAACGAATCATTTTCACCGCCCCATTATTGCGCCAAGTGACTGCAAAGTGTTAAGCAGTAACTGAGCCACCATGGTTATTTTTCTCATCATGATATGTAAATGGCCATTGTGATATGGGTTTTACTTGACTCCTCAATTGTATAAACTTTTAAGCAGCACAACATCTATCTGTAACAGAAGATCAAAGTTCTCAGCTACAAAATACACGGGACAATAAATAGATATATTTTTGTAGCTTTCTCTTTTTTCCTTCATTTTGTACTGTACCTGAAAAAAGTAACTTAAATAATAAAAAGGGCAAAAGCACACTTTAATCTTCTTCACTGCCAATACAGCTGAACCTCATCAAAACATGATAAATGCACTTCTTCAAAGTCAAGGTCTACAGCAATATAAGTAGCCTATATGCACAGTTGACCCTCGCCAAACATTTTTATTAAAGAATTCAAATTCAAAATATAATCAAGTTGTTTCTAAACAAAAAGTACAAATATGAAAATGAGACAGGGTCATAGCACAGTATCTAAAATGACTTCTCATCACATCAGATTCCAATTGATGATCCAACGCTTATGGTTACTCAACATTTATACTTTCATACAAAAATTTTCCAGTTTTAAACCTTTAAACATACTCTTAATTTCCAACATTACAGAAAATGATGCATTCAGAAATGTTTATGGTGAGACTCACCTAAAAATGTATGGTCACAAATATTTGAATTTGTATGTACAAGGAGCCCGCACATCCATGGACTACACAAACAGCTTATCAGAGTTGACAGGTATGTAAACTGTGTCATTGTACAGTAAGGTTCCTTTTTCGATGTCAATTGCGGGACGGGGAGGAGGGAGGGGGGATCTTTCTAAATTTTTGTAACTTGGGCATGAGCTTTTTCTGACCTTTGCACCTGCAAGACATCTGGGAACTAATCCCGAACAGGGGTTCAGTAAGTACAATCTCGCAGGTCCTCTCAACAGAAGCTGTCTGGATCCACTTCCTGGAACTCGCTGAGAGCCTTGATGGGCTCGATAGCCGACCTGGTGGCCGCTCCCTTCCTCACCTTGGCACCCAGCTCATTAGGATCCTCTCTTCTTACCAGTGGCTTCTTGGCAGGGGCTTTCATCTTCCACAAGACAACATGCCTCTGCTCGAAAGGAAAAAAAAAGCAAACATCATAATTGCTCCAATAGCTGATGGGCAAAGCCCAAGACAAGCAAAACTGCAAATTGAAAATTGCATCCATCTTGGTATTTACTCTTTTGTAATGTCAAACAGAATATACAGTTATTCATACACAAAATAACATCCCACAGTTATGGGGGGGGGGGGGGGGGGGGAGTGCTCTAATGGTTTTAGCAGAGATGAATTAATGCAAAACGAACCTTCATCTTTGGCTAAACAGGACAGTCTAGAGGAAAGAAAATTGGTAGACCATCCAAACGATGATTTAACAAAAGTATATAAAATGTCAAACAAACGGGTTTAAATATTGCCAAATAGAATAAGAGTATTTCAATGAAGTCAAAGTAATAATTTCAAAACACTATCACTTTTTCATTTTTATTAAAATTTGCTCTCAGGTGACACCAGTATGCAAACTTTAGCGCTAAAAGAAGAGAATTTTGGGTAATTTAAAATTGACATATTACATTGAAAACGATACTTACATTTGATCCCTTTGAATACTGAAAAGAAAGAAGAGGGATTTACAATAATGAAAAAGCAGAAAAGAAAACATCTCATTTCATATCATAATGACTACGTAAGAGTGTACAATATATATGTAAAAGTGTACAATGGATAAGTCAATACGATCCCATTCACTACCAGCTTAGAAATTAAAAAACTATGCTTATATCTATAAGCCGTCAATCAAGAATGATGATCGACAGTAAAGTATACAGACAAAAGGTTATCTTAAACTACGCTTTCCTTAACACTTTGCAGTCACACAGCCAGCAGTGCAAAATACCCCCATCTGGTCACCCAGACAGGAGAGTGGCTGCAACCGACTTCTCGGGCCTGGCAGAACGGAGAATTTTCACCGTCACATTACTGCGCCAAGCGACCGCAAAGTGTTAAAAGCATAGACTAACAACGGTATTAAAAAGAACAAAGCAAACAAGCCCATTACAATGGAAGGCATAAATTTTAGCTATGAATATTATGTAACAACATGTAATACATAATTCATTCTTTGAGCTATCAAATGGTAGGGTAAATGATGGGAGTCTGTTGACTAAGCCACAAAGGACTAAGCTTCGCTGGGCTGTCCATGTTTGTTTTAGTTTTAGTAAGCGTTTTATGGCACTTACAACACAGTAAGGTCAGATAAGTGCCGAAGATTAGAGGCCTTACAAGAGAGTAACAAACATAAAACAGAAGGAAGAGGGATCAGGACGATAGATGTTTGATAGGAACAGAGCACCAGCCAACCACCCACTGTCCATATAGTGAGAATGTCTGGTTAATCCCAAAAGCAAATGTTAATTTTAGCCTGACCTGAGGAAGCATAGGCTTGGAACATCAATTTTAAAAAAGAGGGCTACAAAGACACTCTAGAAATGTCTCTGTAGGACTTTAACAATAACCTCTTAGCATGGGAGAGCCTAGCTCCTGGCAGAACTAGTTGGAGAGCAGCCACCACAGAAGGCAGCAAATCGATGAGGCTTCAAGAACTACCAATGCTGAAGCCAAGAGGGAAGCCCTCAAGCAGCACACTACTACAAGTAGACATGAAGCTTTTGAATGCTCAGGATGTGGCAAGCTCTTCTCGCCAGAGTTGATTTCATTGACCATGGCAGAAGCCACATGCCATCAGTGGGTGGTTGGCGGGTGCTCCAGTGTGGTTTGCTTCTTCTTTCCTATCAAACATCTATCCTCCGAATCTCCCCTTCTTTTTTAAAATGTTTGTTACTCTCTTGCAACGCCTCTAATCTTCGGGCGCTCATATGACCTTATGCAGTTGCGAGCGCTGTGAAACCTCTACTAAAACAAACAAACATGCCATCTTAATCCATTTCTTTCATTTTGCTTAAGATATATTCTCCTCCGCAGATGAATTGATCATTGTCAGACATTGAAAGGCAAATTATTACTATTAGTTGGGCCATGTCTGCTTAAGTCATTGAACACCCTGTAATGTGAATAAAAACTCATGTTTGGTTCGCTTGATTTATATTGTACGTGAAGAAGAAGCAAGCACATCGACTTGATAGCAGCCATTTCAAGCAGAGAAATAGCAAGATAGACGGACAGAAATAACAGAAGGCAAAAAAAAGTAGGACCTAGCTGAGGCTCCCTCTACCATCTGTATTCTTAACCACAAGCCGTAACATCATCATCATTGTCTTTCTCACCCTGCACCAGGGTACAGGCCATGGACAAACACTTTCCACCTTTCTCTATCCTGGGCTAGCCTCTTGATGTTTTTCCATGTCTTCCCACTTTTCTGTATATCAATTTCTGTGATTCTTCTCCATGTTAAACGCGGTCTTCCCCTTGATCTTTTACCCCGTGGATTTCAATCCAACGTCTTCTTTGTTATGCAGCTGCCTGACTTCCTGAAAGTACGTCCAATCGATCGCCACCGCCTTCTTCCTACTTCATCTCTGACTGGGATCTGTCTAGCTTTCCTTAACACTTCCTCGTTGGTGACCCTGTCTGTCCATCTGATCCTAAGTAACTTTCTTAGACACCTGTTCAAGAAAACCTGGATCCTCTTTATTCAAGTCTGTGATGCGTTCCATGTCTCACATCCATATAACAGGACAGACTTCACATAACACAGTGAGAAAATTACTAGAATCAGCCAGAACGCATAATACTTGAGAACTTACCTTAGTGGAAGCTACATAGCAAGCTTTAACTGTCAAGACAACAGCATTCATCAAGTTCTTGGCAGAATGGATCAATGATGTCGCGCTGTCCAACTGAAAGTAACCAAGAAAGAGATTGAAAATAAACCATGAGAATTTGAGCCCTTGTAAATCCACCTGATATCTGCTTTCGTATTATCATTCAGTTTTAATTACTTAAATAAAAGACAAAGTTCCACCCATTACAAATGTATAACTTAGGAAAAACACAAACCTAAACATATTTGCACACGCATATTATTATAATTGAACCTTCGGTGATTAAAAAAAGAAAAATTAAAAATTGAGAGCCTTCAAAGTGATGACAACACAGACATGTAAATGCCATGACAACTTATAGTCTAGTCAACATGAAACAGATTAAAACAATAACAAATTATTGATAAAAAATAGAAAAAGAAGACCATAACCAGAATGCCTACCAGCAAATCCAATGACTTGTACTAAAATCGAATAATTGAAAAATGGCTCTTGAAGAATGTACCACAACGGAGTGCTCATTTCCCACACTAAAGCATTTATATCAGGAGGAAAAAAATGTATTTAGCAAGCTTAGCTAATGCTGCTGTTTTAAAATCTCTAAGCTTCACAATTCTCAGATGTCTAAAACTTGTATAACTTTTTATTTCCCATGGTACCACATAAATTTGAAAAGCTGATCAAACTATAATCCCAAAAAATGGAAAAAACAAATATAAAAAGCAAAACTGAAAATAAAGCAAGTGAAAGCAGTACACAATTGAAAAGTGCATTACATTATTAATCAATATCATATTCCCATCATATAAAAAATCTTTAAAATATATTCAATAACCACTGGTAAGCCAAAACATAAAAGCAAAATAAAAATTATATAACACAAGTCAACAATCATCTGATATGTGACTCATCCAAACTCCAAGAACTTTCAACTTGAGAACTACAAAATTTCAATAAGTAAAAAAATTCAATTAAAATAACGCTACCGTGGAGATCACTTAAACCAAAATCTATGAGACAGACGCATTTACTTCGGTTCAGTTACATTTTCGGTTTAGAGATTTTGGCCAATTGATGAGCGCAATGAACGTAGGCAAACATAACACTGGCGTTGCCTCTCTCTGGCCCACAATTGACACACTTGCGTTTTCGTGCCTCTTCTGTTTTGCTATTTAGAAACCAGTAATACTTGATGATTTGAATTACTTCAGGAGTCACTAGTGAAAAATGAGATGACATAACCCTTGACATTATTTTTTTAAGCTAAGAAAATAGGAGCATTTCAGCTGATCGATAGTTTTCTTCCAAATACAAAGAAAAAATTGAGGACTATGTTTTCTTTCGGATAACCACTGTTTTTGGTATACCTACATTTGAAATTTTATCATATGGCTGACCACTGTCGAGGAGAGAAGTGGCTGTCTTACAGTGTCAATACAATGTAAAAAAAACGGACACGGGGAAATGGTAAGTGGCCATTTATACAGGCGATTGTCTTATACAGAGGGCTGTAAGAGCAGGTTCGACTTTATTTTTGGTTTAAGCTATCTCCACTGTATTTTGTTAAGCAAAGATTTCAAAACTGTTGGCAGATCTTACTGTTCTTCTATGCACAGGATTTTGCTGTTAAAAAAGAGGGATCATTGTCAAAAAGAAGATAAAAACAAAAAGAAAGGAACAAATGATTAGTTTGTACACATGAGGCAAAAAGACACTAGCAAACCTGTTGACAAAAGAGTTAGAGAAGCACTGAAACAACATTATGAGAGGGAAACAAAACACATCTTTATCTTGCTTCACACAGAGGGGGGATTTACACATACTTTGATTTATGAGTGCATTACATTCGGTCTTCTGTGAAATTCGTTTCTGCTACATGATCATGAGCCGATGTATACAAGTCACAGCTACACACTGAAATCTTTAAAGCTAGTTTTCTGAAATTGTCCCCACTGTAATGAATAACTGCATTATAAGTTAAAACCCCAAGAGGATGTTAAATTTATCCAAGTCCCTTTACTCTCACAAGTGGTGCCACAAATCACAAAGCAAGGGAAACAGTTGTTATCCATGCTATCTGATTCCAGTTTTGTACCCAGGGTAATCGAGACAAATGGGTAATTTTCTTCGCTTTGAAACTCTCATATTGTTTGTATGAATTTTTTGAATTCTTACATACAACTTCATTAGAATTGTCAGATTAAAGGGAAAGAAAAAATCATATAGAAAGAAAAGCACTTTCAGAGCACCTAACTATTTGAATAAAAACTGAAAATGATCGACAGCCTTGTATAATTCAGTTTTCTGCAAACTCGGGAAACTAAAGCCTAAATGGACATTGGGTTTGCGAATGGGTAAACGCATGCTTGCATACTAACAGAGCTCATTTGAACAAACCTGTGTGTATGTGTGCGCGCACACAGCGCATGTGTGTGTGTGTGTGTATGTGTGTGTGTGTTTGTGTGCGTGTGCGCGAGTTTGTGTGTGTGTGTGTATCTGAGTGTGTTTGTGAGTGCATTAGTTTTAGAAAGAGAGAAAGAGCTATGCTTACCCCTGAAACAATCAGTTCTCCACTGACACTCTGTACATCAGCCTTGACTTTACTGGTAATGTTCAGCTGGTGGCAATACAAACCAATGCGCTGAAGATAAGCCTCTAAATCTTTCTTCGACTGAGAGTCTGGACACTGGAAAAAAAGGAAAATATTACATCAACACATTAGTTGTTTTGCTTTTTTTTGCTTTTGTTGTGTTGTTTTTGTTGTTCTTTCTCGGGGGGGGGGGGAGGGAGTTGGAAGTACAATGATGAGGCTCAATAACATACATAGTTGATATAGAATACCTAATCAAACCCCATGTTGTTATATTTTTAGTACACTGACACTGATTGAAAACAGGCAAGCAAAAACGTTGAATTTATCCAACTAAAGGAACGTGTGAGCTATCAATCGGGGAAACAATCATGGAAAGCTTCCCGAGTCATCACATTCCGTCTAAAAGTAGGACAAGGTGAGAAAATCAAGTAAACATACCTGATCTGCAATAGTAGTAGCAAGTTTGTCCAGATTTGTTCCATGCTCAGAGATTTTCTTGGCGGCATTAATGACGTCCATGGTGCTTTTCAGAGGACCACGACCTCTGTGAGTTAAAAGAGAGAAAACATTAAACTCATATATATCAATTAAAATTTTACCAAAGCAAAAATACCAAGAGGATTCTCTTGAGGATCAGTACTCATCAACCAAGTTTGATCACAGACGTTGATGAAATTACAGAATCAAATCCAAAACTTTTAACAAGTACAGAAATCTTTTTATTTAGATTAGCAGAAAATATAAAACAACAGCTTGACTACTAGATCTTAGAGAAAAAAACCTCTCAAAATCACTCCCTGGATGAGCCAGATTTAAAAAAATGAAACCAAAATGTCAAAAATATTTGCAAGCGGACTCCGATGCTTTCAGTACTCATCCCTACTTGTAGTCCATTTACAGACTTACCCCTAATCACAGAATAATGTTTTTGGTATCCCTACTCACGAAATAATGCTTCTGGTATCCCTTATCACAGAAAGTGGACCAACTGGAAGGTACAGAGGCACAATTAGGGATAAGGAAATAACCAAGGGCCTTTTGTATTGTTTTAGTAGAGGTCTTACGGCGCTCGCAACAGCATAAGGTCATATGAGCGCCAAGGGGTGGATGTCAACAGAAAAGTCATTACAGAGAATCAGGCTTACTCTGCTCACCTCTCCAGCTTTAACAGTACAAAGTCTGCTTCAACTATCAAGGCACCCCGGAAATAGCGGGTCACAAGAGTGTGACAAACATAAAAAAGAAGTAGAGGAAAATGACGATAGTAAGGATTAGGTAAGAAAAAGCAGCAGTTCCCTGTTGCAGTTCGGGCACAGTTATGAGCATGACATTGATGAAACAGTCCATTCACAATTACAATTCTACTGTGCATAAGAACATGGTTAATGAGCCCCCTTTGGGAATGGCCTAAAGACACTTCAGTCAGTAGCACCGCCCCAGGGGGGGGTGGACCAAGGGCCTCGATGTGCCGAAATTGGAAAACGTGGCCAGGGACAGGCAAGCGTGGCGTCAACTGCTCTCCGCCATCTGTACCTGACGGTATCATGAGAGAGTAAGTTAAGTAAATTATTACAGAAAAACGTTTTTGGTTCTACCACAGCACATCCCCACAAACCTAGTGAAGTCTGTCATCTCCATCATGATCATGCACATCTGCTTGGCCATGACGATGATGTCATTGCCGCTGTCATCCCACTTGGCCACCTCACGGTCCAGCTTGGCCTTCTCCATGCGGAACATCTCCACCTGTTGCTGGATCACCTCCCGCTCCTCCTCAGGCAGCCTCCTCATCATGGCCCGGTCACTCTTGCCCGAATAGTCATCATGGTCCATCACGCTCGCTAAAGAATAAAAAATTTTTTTAATGGATTTTAAAAATCATTTTAAAAATGCCTGCAATCATGAGTAAGTTAATGAAAACTCTAGAGCAGAATAATCATGACTGATCAGTAATGTTAAACATCTCTGCAATCTAGATGACATGAAATAGCATATCAACTGCCAGCTGTTAAAATATATTTAGCCCCAAATTTTTTTAACTTTCTCAATTGCAGTGTCTTCATCTTTGATATGGTGTTTGCATAAGGTATTCAAGGTACTTTTTTTCGTTGAAATTCAAATTTAAAAAGTCCTCGACTTTGAGTTAAAGACAACCCCCCCCCCCCCCAAAAAAAAAACGAAGAAAAAATACCCAATCTAGGTACAATTCTTAAAAGAATGAAAGTTTTTTTTTCTCTCCCCTCAAAAATTTTGCTTTATGGGCTGACTTTGTTTCACCAGTATGATGATGATACCTCTGTAAAACGATTACAATTTTTCATGAAGGGGGGATGATAAGTCATCTCATTTTTTTTTAAATTGCTTTTCAGATAAACTGACAAGTATCAACTATTACCTGCTGATGGCATATAAAAGCACATACACAGGACTGCATGTTTATACACATTTTTCTTAAAATTAGAATATTCTTAAGCATAAGTATAAAGCAAACAACACATTTCTTTCTTACTTTCTGCTCAGATCCAAAC